TCCAGCTTCAAACTAACTTAGCCGTGGTAAATTTTCAAAGAAGCCTTCGAGTAGACAAATTTCTTACTCTCCGCAGATCCCGTACTGCTGAGTTCTTTCTATATTGTGGCATTTTAAACAACTTTTTCAAGAAGAACCAGCGCCATTGCAGCCATGCAAAAATTCTGCAAGTAGCTGTTTGGACAGCTTAGTGACAGCACTATGCGGGGCTATTTGGTATTTCGGATATCTAAAAATTTTATTTTGACTAGTTGGAATTGCGTTTTAGATATCTGGATTGTAACTCCAGATGTGATACTTAAAAGATAGATCAGGTGACGAATTTGAGATATCTCTAAATGCATTTTGACTCTCTTAAAATGTGATTTAAGATATCTTGAATTGATATTTTCCCTGGTCATAATATAATTTCAGATATCTTAAAATGTCATAAGGTATAGTCAAAATTTAGATTTTCCAAGTCAAACATTATATTTGATATCTTAAAAATAATTAATGATAGTCAGAAGAACTAAATAAATAAAAAGTTTAAAATAAAATAATAAGAATGATTTTATGATAAAACGGCCTGCCATAGCACTGGTCGTTCAGACAAAGGTTGCATTCAAAAGATTCAGGACCACATAGCCAATTGGCCTGGGTCGCATTGGAACAAATCAGATCTGTGTTGTTATGACTTTCATGAATAGATCAGATAAAGGTCACATGTGGGTGAAAGAAAAAAAAATCAGATTTGGGTCACTTCGGCCTGGACAAACCAAATTCATGGTGCTGTTTGACTTAATGATATCAAAGCTTTTTTTTTTCTCGCTCTCTTTCTCTCTCTCTGCGGATGTCACATTTAAACTTGGATGGCAGAGCAGAGTGCAAAATGTGAGGCTATCTTAAAGGCTACAGAGATGTCCTTTTCCATGTCCTTAGAAACTGGCCAATGTTTATAACTTTACTGTAATTGAAAAAAAAGGAAGGAAAAAGGCTCTGCATCCCAGATGATACATTTACGTTTGAGTTGAAGTTATTACACTCCGCTTTAGCCTTCAGTCAGCCTGCTGTCATATTCAGAAATAATCAACAACAAAAAACAAACAAAATATTTAAAAAAAAAAATAATCAAGATATCTGAAATTATATTATGACTAGGGAAAATTAGCCCACTAAACCAGACTAAATGGGAGATTAAATGTGTAATTTAGTCTTCGGAAGATTGTTGATGAGAACAACCCATTGTTTTCCAAACCATGTCTGTGCCTATTGGCCAACGCTCTGACCAATGAGCACAACTGACTGTGATGTAGGAAGCCTGAGAGAAACCTGGTGGGGGAGTGTAAACAAAAAGCCTGTCGGTAAAACGGCGAATGCGTCTTTCTTAAAAATGGATGAGCGTAGAGCCTCTTCCTGTTTATGTTTCAATGAAAACCCCAAGCCTGATCCTTCCAAAACTGATTCCAAAGCTGAGTCAAAAATCGCCATCAGAGCCAGCGGTCCTTCACACAAGACTATGCCGAGAGACGGCCGCTGCAGACAGGCAGCGGTTAGCCCTGGCTGCCGTTAGCCTCGGAGCTCTGTTGGTCGCGCGGTCCTCTCGACTTCGGAAAATTGACCATATAGTGACGCTTTAAAGTATAATATTCCCGCCTCAAATGATCTTAAAACATACTTTTATTGAACAACAGCAACAGAAAAGAGAAGAGAACTTTTAACAGAGTGCTCCATTGAAAGCTGCTGCTGCAGCAGTGCATGCTACTGTTGTGCTTTCTCCAGCGTCGTGCAGCTTTGTCGTCACGCCCTCACAACCCCGCCCACTTTGCATCCAAAAATGCAAAAAACACATCTCTGCATTGTGATTGGCCTGCCAGTTCTAGGGCCTGGGGCATTGATCGGCCAGCGGCCAAAATAATTTTGGCTGCTGGCGAGTGGGGCTAGTTTACTAGGCTAATGCTGTGTTCAAACCGGACGCAGCTGGCGCGGCAGAGGCAGCGAGTTTACATGCAAAGTCAATGGTTGACACGTGTCAAGGCGCAGCAAAAGGTCCCGCGGCGCGTTTTGAGCAGCAGGCGTAGCGCGTCTGAGCAGCTGAAGCAGCGCGTCAGGCACGTTTAAGCATCTGACGCGCGTGGCGCGCCGCAAATGCACTGCTGCTCGAGATGGAAAAATTTAACTTTTGCTGCTCGACGCGCAGCGTCAACCAATCAGAGAAGCTGATCTGGGAGCTGGCAGGGAGAGACATATCGCTGATGACACAGAGCGCTGTGATCGCTCCTCTGAAACAGTTTATTGACGCATAAATTAACTTAAAATGCAGAAATCTGCCGGCAGAATATGTTCGCTTTTATTAT